CATCCCTCCTTTCCACGGCTTCAGATACCCCAACCGTTCCTCCTGTTTTCAGCGCACCGACGATGACCACCCCCATCACGGAATCTCAACTACCTGATGTTCCACTGCCCTCATCCGCCGAAACCATCCTCCCTACTGTCTAAAATGCCTCCAACCATCGACACCACATCCCTCATTCTCTCCGACGCACCACCTTATACCACCACCTCCAACACCACAACTGACCCTTCCAGCAGCACTGGGGACACGAACCTAATCTTCCCTCATTGCGATCACACATTCACCTCACGTATCAGCCTAGTCCATCATTTGAGAATATATCGTAAAGAGACTGGTGAATCAGTGTCTGGAGGATCAACACACAGCAGAGACCGCCGCCTCCAATGGCCTCACTGCCCTCACGCATTCACCCATCGCATAGGCCTACTCGGCCACATAAGTATATACGTAAGTGGCATTCACCGCGATGTTGACACATCCTACACATCCATCACCACTTCCAGTTCCATCCATTCAATCGGCGTGACCATCGCCAACAACACCAGCTCTTTTGCCTTACCACTCCCGATCTAACCTGTCCTCGGTGTCATCGCATATGCGCATTACGCATTGGCTTTGTCGGTCACTTGCAAATCCATCGCTCTGTCAAGGATCCCATTTATCTGACTCTGACAGTAGCCGTAGTGGCTAGCAGTCGAAGCAGGTGGTAAGTTAGTTCCGTTAGCGGTCGATGAACCTTCATCAGCGAGTGCCAATATCTCCCGCTTTAAACCGGCAAGACAAATACTCTGTGGCTTAATGGTTAGAGCGCTAGACTCTGATTAAAAAGGCCGCGAGTTCGAGGCTCGGGTGGGACGCCACTTGCGATTGAGTGTGACTGACTGACGACGGCTAATAAGCCAGAAATGGCCATTCCACTCTCCCTTGTGTTTGCCGGCCATAGTATCTGCCTATACTACCAACTGCTACAGCTGTCAGGGAATCTATCGAGACCGGCAATAATATCTACCTAGTGTTACCTTCCACGACCAACTCTTGCGGTTTCGAATCTCGAGTGATCCAAACTTGGAATTTGTATGACTGGCTGATGATGGTTTATAAGGGTCAATGGGTGTGGATGCTGTCCTCAGCATGGTTTCGTAGGACCCCCAAGATGAGCTAAGTGTCTACAGGTTACCGTCGTGTAGTAGTCGTGTAACGAGGGACAATCTATAACGGAGAGCAGTAGACCGCTATATCCTTCCCTAAGGCGCCCCTTCGGTTTGCAATAAATCACTGTGGAAACCAAAGCCCGACAGTCCATGTCTCTCTGCGATAATAAGTCCCTTTCAGCTTGCATGCGATGTGGCGTTTAAACATCCACCGTGATTGCACTGTGTAGATGTGTAATCTCGTCGGCTTTAGATGAGGCCGTGCAGAAGCCCA